CCGCTATGTAACGATTGTGGAACGATGTGATATAAGAGGGGCTTCAAACGGGGAACGGGCACGTTAAGGTGTTACAGAGCCTTGGCGCTCTTACCCAGCAGTTTCGAGCCGATCCATTCACTGCGGATGTGGACTATGCCACCCGGTCCTGCACGTTGGTTTGTCGCGAATATGTTTTTTTGTGCAGCACTTGTAGCACATATTACCATTTTTGCTTGCACAAAAGATTTGTTGGTGTATAGGCAAAAAGGAGGAAATCCAAAGAAGTCTGCATGTTATCTTAGAGAGTCGAACCGTAAACCACTTCCCTACTTTTTTTGGAAGTTCCAGCGCCGCCCAAGGAAAATTATTGTTTCTGCGTTTCATGCAGAAGGCTTAGTACTCTGGACGGCATCCCTAGTTCGAGATAAAGACAATTCCATTTTAGCTTCAGAAGAAGATGTTGTCGACAACTCTGTTGAATCGCCTGCTCCATTACGAAAACGCCGGAAGCAACGTAAAGAAATTGTCAGCGCAGAGGAGCAAGCCCTCGCCCTTCTTAACCCTTTTTGACCGCTTAATGGATATTGCTTATGTTATGTTACTTGTTCCTCATAGATATGTGATCTATATTATAGTTGTTGCCTTGTGGAATAGTTGTATACGTTATTGTTGCTTTGTTGTTGTGTATAAAAACTTATTCATTTGAATTGAGCATCTTTCGATGGTCGTATGCCAACAGTACTTCCAAAAGTACGTTATTCTTGTTATCTGACGCAGTTTGCTCATGCCCTTCATCCTCCTAATATTTTTCACCCTATTTTTAGATGGCGGTATCATACGTACCTGCCGGTAGAATAGCAGTGAATGACTTCCATCGGAAAGCAGATGATGACATCATTTACTGGAAGAGGATGCAGGTTTGATCATTTGTGACGCCATTTTTTATGTTTTGGCATCCTAGGCCATTTACCTTTCAAATCATTCCTAAGATAACCGTTTTCAGCAACTCTCAGTCTTCCAAGAGCCTTCTTCTGTGACATCAGTTGCGTTCAGCCCTAATAAACCCTATAATGTTGCATCAACGAGCTCGGTCAGGCTGTCATTGTACGACACGGTGGTCTGTGAACCAATTAGTATGTTCAGCAGGTGATTACATAGCTTAGTTTTTGCCGGGATTGTGTTGCCCCTATGGGGGGGAGGAGGTGAGGTTACAGGTACATGCTTTCTTTTTTTGACAGTCCTTGAAGCTAAAATTCATCTCACACGAGTTTAAGATCTTATGTTTCATGGAAACAGTAAGTTTCCACTCTGCTTATTTGACTCACTTTGTGCCGCTCGAGTGCAGTTATGTAGGCACACCGACCTCATCTTTCACTGGAAAGCTTGGCCCTTTTTCGGCTTTGTTCCGATGCCTTTTAACTGGATTGCATTTTGAAGGTTTAAACGTGCGGTCTATGGCGTGAGGTTTCGTCACGACGGAGAGTTGATAGGTGATTTTTGCTCTCGATATTCTTTTGTTGTTCTTACGGCATGCAAAACTTCTTGGGTCGTTCCCATGAACCGCTCAATTTGGATATGCTAATAGCTATGCTCTTTCAGCTATCGGTGGAGAAGAAGGCAAAGTCCGCATATTCGACGTGACACACTCAAGTGGAGTGGGAAAGGTGAGTATCTGAAATAGTTATCACTGGAATCTCTTAGGACAGCATCTGAAGCATTGCATGCTATGTGAATAGTTAATTTTTTGAAACACTTACATTCCTTTTTTCAGGCTCCTCTGCGAAGTTTCAAGGCTAGTCAAGCAACTGTTCGTTGTGTGGAATTTTCGCCCTGTGGTAAAAAATTGTATTCAATGGCTTGCGATGGAAGAGTTAAGCAATGGGATATTGCTGATACGGGGTGATTTTCAGAGAATTGTCCTCTTTTTTTATTCGCTTGTTTGCATTTACCAAGTGGTACGGAAGCCTTATATGACGTAGAGCTCATTCCCCTCTAGTTTCCAGGACTCCACTGCACATTGCAGTATTGGAAATGGTTAGATTTGATACGCCTAACCACCCTGAGATATTCTGGGCAGTTGCTGAAGGACCGAGGGTTACCCATCATTTCCTACATACAGAGTCGTACCTAAAAAAAAGTTCAGGAGAGCAGCTGACCTTGTGCTGAAATACGGGAAGATTTTTAAAGGTATTATTATGATAGCTGCAGTTGAACGCCAAAGCTCGCAAGTCCCTAAAATAAAGAGCTATGGACACTTGACCTTAGGCGGATTTCGAACCCGAACCACAGGCGTGTGCACTAACCGCTAACCAGCCGGTAACCATGCTCTTGATAACTCATAAAAGTAGCAAAGGTTGGATTTAGCAAATGTATGGCAGAGTGTTGTAAACGCTAACTGTTCTGTAGAGGGCAAAGGGTCGCAAGATATTATCAACTATTTGAGTTCTCTTCATTTTTTGCCTTATTTTTTATCCGAGATCTCAATCTCAACAAAATCATTCGTTAAGGTCGACGGCTGTAATGGATTTTGTTGCTCATAAAGACGAGATTCGTGCTACAGCGATGTCATCTGCAAATAATAATTTATTCTTAACGGGTGGTTACGATCATAAGGTGAATTTCCATTTTTTTAGCTCAAGTATTCTACTATGTATAAGCTGCTCCAATGCTTGATGTGTAAGCATTACTGCTTGTCAGCACTGATGCTACTGAAGGGCTGGATCAAGGGTATGATGGGACATATGCCAAAGTGCGCGGAACACACGAACAACGTGGAGCTGAGACCTGCCCTTTAGAGACAGTGGACGGCGGGCAGAAGGAGGAGGCGGTTACCTCCAGCGTCATCGGTGGAAGGCCAGCGAGAGGGCGTTTGGCCACATTCCAGTCAGCCCTCCCACCACTAGCGCTGGCAGTAACCGCCCGCGCCCACTGCCTTTCACGAGAGCAACCTGCTTCGGAAGTCTGTGAATCCGTCCTGGAAGGGGCCGAAGAACATAAAAAGTGGGCAACGATAGCAGATGGGCAGGCGGGTAAAATAAAGGAGGCGCACATAAGGTACTCCCTAAAAAAATCCACAATTCGTTCTTTGAATGCGGGGGGTGGGAAGTCAGTGGAGAAAAGAAGCACCGGACGTAGGCTGGCGGGTGTGATGTGTACGGGGACCCGTGGACCCGTCCACAGTCACAGGACGGAACGCGCGCTTGAGCAGGAGCCACTTATTCGGAATATTAGCAAGTTCAGAAAACCCACAGAACGGAAAGTAGGAAAGGATAGGAAATGGGTAGGTGGAAACAATGAAAACAAGTATGCGATGAACAGAGCGTGCGCATATATGGGCTTGGTCAGTTTAAAAATTCGTAATAAGTGCGCGTGAAAGCCCTGGAAATGTAAGCGGGATCGGCGCTCCAACTAAGTACTAGTGCTACCTTGCGGTTGAATAATGGAACTATGGATTGACCTGATTACTTTGTTACCCCATAAGAGAACTTTTTGCAGGTCAAATTATGGGATTCTCGATGTGCAAGTGATGGTCCAAGTGTGGAAATGGATGCAAGTTTTCCAGTAGAAAATGTTATTTTCTTGAATAGTGAGAACCTCATAGCAACAGCGGCTGGTCCAGTTGTTAAGTAAGTCTTTGGAAAAACTCATCTCTTGTGTGTCTTACCCATTCTTTGTGATAATGAAAGCGCTAAAATTCAGAATTTGGGATATCGCTGTTGGTGGCCGACAGCTTATGTCACTACAACAGCATCACAAAAGCGTCACGTCTCTTTGCCTTGGCGCTAATGGTGAAGCTTTGCTTACTGGTGGTATCGACAGAAGAGTGAATGCTATCCGCCTTCTCGATTTTTCGTTGGTTTGTTTTACACTGCTATATCTATGCTATGGGTTCTCTGTGTGATCTGGGCAACAAGAAAGTGAAGATTGCCAAACACCTCAACCTTAGAACGGCCAATATATCAACAGTAGGTCAGTATGTGGGGGTGGGGGTCGTATTGGCACCCCCTACTGGTGGAGATCGTATCAATTGTGCGATTTTCCTCGACGTGATGGGACACACTGTTCCAACGTTCTATGGCAGTGAAAAATGTGCAGAGGGAAGGGACGAGCCTATGACGTTGTCCCCTACTTCTGCGTCCGGCTATCACAAACGGTGTTTGTAAAGCTGTGGATACTATTCACTGTGAGGACACTCTGTTCAAGTTTCTTTGGAGTAGTTTGTTCGGCGATAAGTCGAACAGATCTGAGTGGTTTAAACTTGTTGATTCTTTTTTTCCTTTTGCAGTCCGAACCGTGACCATTTTTGAGGGGTGGTTCATACATCGAGACTCCAGCTTCTCCGTCGCGCGACTCGGGAATCGTGTGACTGCGACTGACCACCCTCCACCACTTATCATTTTACGCAGCTGCTGTATCTGTTGCAGTCAGGATACACTTGATTCTAACCTTGTAGTGATTCAATTGTGAAATTTCGAGGCAAGCTTTCCTAAAAATGGGAACCGACTCTGCTCAATGTAGCTGAACACAATAGAGGGAGTGTTCATTAGGAGAGTGTTCGTTTCCCTTTTCTATCATTTTTTGCATTGATTGCTATCAATTCAGCTACACACGATGTCCATGGCTGCACCTGTGCTGAGCTTGGCGATGTCTCCTGATGACCAATCTATGGCAGTTGGGATGGGACAGTTGCTTTCTATTCACCGTCGTGCACCGGAAGCAAAAGTGGGCAATATAGTTGGAACAAGAACTCAAATTCTACGGAGATACCGTATTGTTTTCGACGTTCAGGCTATTGTAGCTGCTCAAATCGCCGACAAACGCTCTATGGTTCGTACGGCAGCCCCAAAGGTGCAAATGCAGGTGGCAGGGAAATCGAGGGAAATCGTGGAGATTAAAGCAAAGTCCAGCGACATGGTGAGATACCTGTTTCTTCTCGCAAGTTTCCTTCAAATAACTTTTCACTTTCCAGCATCGACTGACGAAGATCGACTCCTTGTTGAAAGGATATCAACATGCAGCGGCTGTTCGGAAAATGTTCCAGTGTAGGTGTTATTGCAAAACCATATAGCCCACATGGACAGTGAATTTTATTCTGAAAAGTGGCATGAGCTGTTGCGAGGGGGGGGGGAGTGAATGAGCAGTTTTATGAGGAAGGATTTCCTTGAGGAATGAGAGGGAGGGGCCACAGAACAGATGCCTTGCAATTTTGTCTGCCTGCTACGATTTGAATTCTGTTTTTCATTGTGATCCTTCTGATTGCAGCGTATTTCTTCCACAGCAAAAAGGAGGAAGTTGTTGCGTGGCTGCTGGTGATCATACGACGAGGAGCGATACATCGGGCCATTTCTGGACAGGAGAATGATGTCCTTTGTAACATGTTGAAGTAGTGTGTTTTTTGTTCAGTAGTTAATGTTTATAAAGTATTTCTAAATTCTAACTGGAGGCATGATTAGTAGCGCACCTCCTGTTTGCATTTCATGAGTCATTCGGAGCTCGTTTCTCATTAAAAATGCGAAAGTCGCTACTCATCTCTCCTCTCCCTCTTTGAAATTTGAGTTGGATTTTTATCGAAATATCTCACCGTGGTATACTTAGCACAAGTTCACCAACAAAAATATTTTGACCTCCTAAACAAGAATACCGCATCGATATTGCGCCAGAATATCTCGTACCGGTGTTGGAGTGCGTTCAAACATCGCGATAACGCGCGTCATCGCTTCCGCTGCGGTGGCGGTCCAATGTTATACGCGCAGTCATAGAGAGGTATCGATTTCCACTGGTCCATTTAGTTTTTTGAGAGAATGCCAAAAGAGTAGAAGAGTGCCAGGCCGTGTAGTGACTCTACTAATCTCCTATTTTCTCCCAAAACAGTAACGTTCGGCGCCGATTGATATCCGTCTCTAGCTGCGCTCCGGTCTTTAGAGTTGCAAACGATAGTGCGTCCACGCGCGTATCGCGAAGTCTGAACGCAGCCTTACCCTCTTCTTTTCTTGCTGAACAGATGTGAATCCATACACAGAGGGTCAGACCACGCTCAGCGAAGATTCCTGCGGGTTTAGTCTTTCAAACTTGTTTTGCCCCGGGGACCAACCTCGAAGCAAACCAACTGATTCCAGGTTGCTGATAACATTATCCATGTTCAATTGATGGAAGAGTTGATAGAATCAGAGAATATTGTAGGTTCATCCATGCGCAACTGTTTCGCGGCAGCTATTTTGACGTTCTTCGCCATGTCGTTGATGCATTTTTTGGTAAGAGGAGCTTTGATTATAGGGTTTGATGCATGAGTCTTGCTTCGCTTATTCACCCAGTTTTAAACGGAAGCCATTGTACTGTTTTGCCAATACTACACTAAATCTCAAAAATCTTGCCGAGGCTTCGGCCATAAAGATTTCAGCGCCTTGTTCACGAAGATGGATGTCGCTTTCGGCTTTTGGCTGCGCCGCCATTTGAAGACAAAACCTCGCCTTCACCTTTTCCACCGGAATCGATATAAACGTGCGTGGGCTATCCGTGTTCGTGGCCAGAACTATCATTTCACCCCTAGTTGTAGTTTTAAGCGAATCCAGTGGGAGGGATTCGACGCACGAAGTGGGCGCAAGCCCGTTTCGGTGTCAGTGGAGTCCATGCGAAGAAAGCCATTGGCTTGATTAATGTGCAAAATGCAAATAGTGTGCAAGTTTGTATCCCTTTTGGTGTAGGAGATGGTTGAGGAAAATTACACTATCGCCACTCCCTCCCCATCGGTGCCTGCGCTAAGAATACATGAAAAATTTGTAAACTGTGCAAAATAACGGTAGAACGTTTATCTGATTTTCTATGAAAAAGGTGAAGATTTGGCGTCAAATGGCACTGGTGCCGAAAAAAATGTCCTATTCCCGGTCAGGACATATGCATTCCTAAATCGATTTTGGTGAATGTAGCCCCAAATCGGCGCTCGTTGGCGCCAAATGGGGCTGTCGCTGAAAATGAATGTTATATTTCGATTTGGGGACGCAGTTCAGCGACGGGGGGGGGAGTATTTTGACTATCATTGCTTCCTTAGTTCCGGTGAAGTCTCACTCTGGCGAAACCTGTGAACTCTTGTGAAGCTGGAGCAAGGTCGTCAAGCCATCATGTTAAAACCTGTCAACTCGAGAAGAGGCTGTCTAGATAGGTCGACACGTCGATGGGAAGTAGCAAAAGTGCAAAATGCCCCCCCCCCCCCACCCCCTCCTCACGTCGCCGATTTGGGGCAGTGAATAACTCCTACAACCTAGGCTTCAGCAGGTTTTTTTCTCAAGATTTTAGAGTAGCTGTTGTCGAATAGAGCGCCCCTTCAGTGTGCTTTAAATTTTAAATGTACTGCTGTGTGGTAGACCGTAACGTTTCATAATTATAGACGTCTATGGTAATGAGGAGCTGGACCCCAAAGTTGCGAAACTAGCACTCAACCTAAAATCAGCCGTTGCGAAAGAGTTAGTTGTACAGAAACAGGTGAGAATCCCAGTACTACAAACGAATAGGTTTGTTTTTTGATGCTGTTTTTTTCCTCATTTTGTTATTTCTGGAACTGCGCAAGCTGCAGAAAGAAAAACTCTTCTCAGTAAGAGTGATAGCTCATTCAAGAGGTTATTCAAACGATGCCTGGAATTTAATTTGGGTTGTTAGTTGTTGTTTTGGGACACCATGAGGATTTTCGAGTGAGTAGTACATCATAGGAGTTAAGTAGAGCAAGTTAGCCTGCTCTTAGCTGATGTTTGACGGCTGCTTTTTGGGCTTCAATTGGCACTTTTAAGGCAAGGGTGACGAAAGGAGGTTAGGAATTCCATAACGTGCGCAGAATCCGCACCAAGAGCACTCGTTCTAACGAGGCAATGGATCCAGATTCATGATGACCTGTGGATGATTATAGTCTCGTTCGCTGCGGGTCGTGTCAGCGCGGCTGCGTTTGGCGCGGCGCTAACCCGTTTTTCTCTCAAAGATAGTATCATATCGTTCGTAAGACTCGCTTTCCGCTGTGGGCGCTTATTCGCTTCACAACTGATGGGGGACGGGTTGGCCGCGTGCCAAACCAATCGCGCGAACACACCCTATCTTTCGCAGCGAAGAAAACTGTCAGCATCATCAAAAACATATATCGTGAGCGGAAGGAACATGGGAATGCCAAAAATGTCTTTAGCAGCTGACAAAAACGGTTATTAAGGCATCCGTGCCCGTATCTATCCCGACGCGTTCGTCTTGTCAAAACAAGCTGATATTTAAGGCCAGGTCACGAAATCTTGTTATGTCGGACGAGTCTTGGGTCTGCGACGCAGAGGGCGGGGTGAGAAGGCAATCCATAGCAGTAATGGCCCCCTTTTGGTTGAGTAAGTCATTGAAAGCGGCACGTGCAGCTTTGACGTACACCCCATTCTCAATAAAGTAGCTAATTTATTTCGATTCCGGAATGAGGCACTGGTGTGAGACTGTTGGCTGTTGATGAATTTCACATTACAGCTTACGCAAACGTTGGGTGCTCTGGAATCGGATGAATACAATTGTGCACGTCCGCTCGCTTCACTGCGTTACGAACCTCCGCCGGTAACTTTTTTTATAAATACACTACAGTGAATATTTTGTCTGCTTTTCAAGCAGGTGTAATCTTCCCGATTTAGGATAAAAAGGCGTTAGCTGAAAATGGCTTGATGGAAATATCGTCGAAACAAGGTGATCCATATGGTTTATTTGGTGAGCCCACATTAGGCTCTGTCACACTGGATTTGCTTGACACGAAGGGATGATTAAAATGCTCTTCATCATGTACATTTTTTTTTAATTTGCGAGCTATTATTTCAGAAAATGCCCATTAAGAGCGATGTATTTGGCAGATGAAGTACTTGATATGTCTTTGTCAAAATGGAGCTCGCGGGGCACCTGTCAATACGAGAATTGGCGCCGAGGGTGCGCCTTGCCGTCTTAATGTCCTATACATTTCCAGTCTGACCATTGTTTTCGTTCTTGTTCAGTGGTGAGTATGACTTGTTAGTGTCCTCTTGCGCCCTGCAAACGGGCGACTAGTCCGTTAAAACTGGCCGCTTACTGCTTGCAGATGTTTACTGACCTTGAGAGTCGTACTTGGCCACTGAGTTTTTTGAACACTTTACGAGGGGAACCCTACCTGTGATTGGCCAACAGTCAACAGAAAAAAGTGGAATACTGAGCTTTCTAGTGTTCACCACAAATCGAGCCCACTAGAAAAAAGGGATTGGTTTGAAATGGGTCCGATTCTGAGGCTCCCTATAATATAGGCGAGGGGTCGCCTACCAACACTCCATATACCGGAAATGGAATTAGCTCACCCGGCGCAATCTTTGAGTAGTTTTTGTGTACTTTACTCAAAGATTGCGCCGGGTGAGCTAATTCCATTTGAAACAATTGCCATCCTGCACTGCACAGGATAAGCTCATGAGATTGTGTCAGAACGGCAATATCTCACAAGAAGCGAGTCTACGGACAACTTGAACTCAATCCCTTTGAACGCGTCGATCTTCTCTTTTTCTCTGCACTCTCTCGTCCGCATGGCACTCTATGGCCGTTGTGACTTCGCACATTCCAGCTTTTCACCGATTATAAGTAGCTCACCCACCCCGGAGTCCCCTCCCCTTGAAAAGCCGTTTCCTGGCTCGCCATATGTTTCTTGCACGTTTCGATGCTTTGGCAGCCGCTGCCCTCTATCCGTCTGCGTCACAGGGTTTCGTAACAGGACCATGCACAAAAGTTCGAGAAGTCACGTAACCCAAGCGCAGCCGCTGCTACGTAAAAGCTAAGCTACAGCCACGCCCTCTACATCCCCGAAGTGTGAAGGTGTGGTTGTTCGAAAATTTTCTGTAGATTTGTTATTATCCTCGTCTGAAATGCCGTGTATTGTTCTGGCTTATCTCACTGCCTGATAACTTTCCTACAGAGTTGTCCATTTGTTTTTGCAGATGTTCTGCAGTATTTACGGATCATTGTTGTTACTTGTTGAATCAGTACATTTGTTGATTTTTTTCATTTTGTTTTAGGATTCTTACATAGTTCTACCTGTGAGATGGCTTTTGATATTGTTGTTGTGATAAACTCAGGAAGCAAGTATTTTTCTTTTTTTTTCTCGACTTTCGGGCGCGATCCAACGAATAGGTGTAGATGTGGTCTTAGCAGATCGTTTTCGGCTTCCTAATGATAACGGTGTAATGCTAAGGAACAGGAACATGTTTCACAAAGAGCTCGCGGGGGTAGCCATGGCACATCAGTGTTAAGGATTTTCATGGGGAGCGGCAGTATTTTGTTTTTGTACGCGGGTCGTGTTCACTGGAATGGGTGCGGAAGTGGGATTTCTGGGGAAAGATTGTGATCTTTCATGTTCTGCCGTCAATTACTGTACCGCCTAGTAGCCCCCAGCCCCCTCCATAGCGGTGCTCATTCTCTTTTTCTTCAGGGGACTACTAATTTCAGCCTCCATCTTGTTTAACGGAAATTTTGAGTTAAGTTTGGAGGCACTGAATGTATGGTGATCAACAGCGAACAACAGGTACGTGATTGGCATCGAAATGGTACATGTGAAACGGGAAGAGATGCGAGACGATACGACACCCTCCCCCTCCCTTCTACCAGTTCTCAGATTTCTCCCAATCCTGCCACCTTTTCCGAAATTTCCCGAAAACTTCCCCACTTTTTCCCAAAAATTTTCCTGTCGAGCGGGGAGGACCTCGGGGAGGCTGATCTCAATGATGACATCTGGACGAGCTGGGTCGAGTGCAATTATCCTTCATATTTTCATTAGATGAGCAGATCTACATATACTTTAGTTCGATGCTGGTGAAGGGGCGTGTCAAGGTATGCGTGTGCCATTGTGTCAAGCCCTTTCTTCGCCAGATGTTGAAGAAGATATGCGACAACAATCGGTGGAAATGAGTGATACATACGATTGCCGCTTGATCGCTTCAAGTGGAGGACGGGTTTGGTACAGCTCCAAACTCAACTCACCTGACACGCCTCTTCGCATCGAACTAGACAGTATCTTTTTTGCTTGCTTCATTTTAATGCTTCGTGGGTAATCTATCGTTCACTCGATTCCTAGGCAGTGTGAGATTGAGAATCCTAATTCTTCATTGAATAGTCTTCTATGATGTATCTACGAAGTGCTTTGTCGAGATTCCTCTCTCGCTGGCATATTCGGATGGTGGCGCCTGTCATCTCCTGTGTAGCAGAACCTCCCAGATTGAAGATTGTTGGCCCTCAAGGTTCTAAATAATGAAGGATAGCTGGAGTCAAAGTATCATTCAGACATAAAAATTTTCTGTCAACTGGTGAGAACCCAAAATTTACCTGAGACCTCCAGCACGTTCGTCTCGTTCTACGGGCGCGACAATAACTGATTCATGGCCGTGATGTTGGAACATATTGTAGTTCTGTAATGGTTGTGTACTTATGAATAATTCTAACAAAAATAAAATATTGCGGCATAGGCTTTGAATAGCAAATTATTTTGATGCTCATTTACGTGAGATGGTACGCCTGAACCCGTCAAATCAATCTGGATCTGGTGCCAATGTCACGACTGCAATGCTTGGTTCGGCATCTCCGTAAGACTTAGTTCGCCTCCGTTCTTTGCGGTAGCACCGTTTCGAGCGTCGGTCAGCGACTAAGAAACTATAGATATCGATCAGGCGAAGGGCAAGCGTCTACCAGCGTCCACCAGCGTCGGCCAGCGACCATCAGCGTCTAGAGGGACTAGGAAAAGATGGACATGGACCTGGAGTCTACCAACGTCTATCAGCGACCACGAGTGCGGTATTGTGTAGTAGTACTGTGCGGTTGCAGGGGTTCGAATTTGACTGTGCACACGGCACAAATTC